CAGCGCAATTAAATATGTTGGATACATATTGATCTCACTGTTTGCTTTTTGGTTTTTTAGAGTCATGGGTTTTGGATGAAAATCACGCTACAGACTAACTGCTTGTGAGAAAATCATCAGATTAACCACTAGTATTTACCGTACGGACCGTTTCCACATATACCGAAAATTCTTATCTCATGTGATGATTTTGTGAAGCAGTGGTGTAGCGGCGATTGTTTATAGAAAGCCTCTCAGTCTCTATTGGTGTAAGGGGTTTACCGCCAACGCGTTCGATCGGGATTAGGATGAGAGCCCTCACCGGTCAAGGGCGGAGAAGAAGCTTCCACCAATAAAGGACAATGAAGAAACTTTTTCAGTTGTAGGCGAAAAAGAATGTTTTGCCGATCAAGAACGAAGAAGAGTCTTCAAGAGTTAGCCATGCCTAAAGTTGCAAAAGAACGATATAATCATGATTTGGAGTATATCCTGCTTGTTCAAACGGATGCGTTCCCAGCTGGAAAAAGGAAGATGCCCAATGACGAAATGAAGTCAATATTTGCCCCTTATAGTTCTAGTGAGAGGGATGCCGTCCAGGACGCCAGGGATGCCGTCCAGGACGCCAGGGATGCCGTCCAGGACGTCAGCAAAAAGCAATATGATGGTCTGAGCAAGGTTGCGCAAAAGTTCGTTTCAGACAAAGAGACGGGCAAAACATTCACCTATTGGTTCAAATTGGTTCAACAGGTACGGACCGGTCATATGCGACGCATTGTTCCAGACAACAAGAAGCGATATGATTTTCATGAAGTTGGATGAGGACGCATAGAAATATGCAAATAAGTTCCTGCCTATGCGACCCGCTCGACGCAACAAATCTTTAGGAGCTGTTTGCCTTTAAGAGTCATAGAGGTATACGTGCCTTATGGTCGCTTGCCGACACCAGACACATGACGTTTCGAATGCTAACTCAATCAAGATGAGCGACGAGTCGCGAATCCAGTAACTCGACTACATGGCGATGAAGAAATCGCACATTATAGTGGATCACGATCCCACATTGCGGGAAGTCTGCCTTAGGATAACCGCTGGACGCACTTGCGGATGACACTCCATTGACAATCAAAGATCTGTTTATGAGAATTTCGCTTCAAAATGGACAAGCATGTAAGGAATAGCGACATTTATGGTGTGTGGAAGAAAAAGGTAAAATGCTTTAGTTGTGGAGGTCCACATCTCACTCAGCAGCAAATGTTCATCCTCCTTTTCCGCTTGGCCACAAGAAGCGACGACAGAAGCCCGGCCCTGTGTTCGCAGCACACAGTGCAAATACGTTGTTGCGTTCGACACCGAGAATGCAAGGACCTGTCCTGACGTTAACAATGTACTCCTGGTGCTTCTGGCTGGATACAGATGCTGATTTATTTGACAACACGTCGAACTTGAAAGAGAGCTGGTTCACCTATCCCGGAACCTTGCATAATACCAGTACGCCAGGCGGGACTTTGGTGGAGATTGATGGAAAGTTTTCCACCGAGTTTTCGTTAGATATCGTATCAGAAGAAAGATGATCAAAGGAAATAGAACATGTTACGTCAGCGAAAACAACTACTGGGATTAGGTGCATCCAGTTACCGATGTACACAGTGTCAAACAAATACTACTGGTGGTAGTGACGAAAAAAGAAGAGTTTTAAGCGGAAATCGTCGCAGACGTGAAGAAACCGTATGCAGTTGGACTGGAAAAACGTTCGAAGAGCAAACAAAAGCTATTTTTGAAAAACAATGCAGTTCTCATATTCAAGAATAAACGACTAGTTTCATATGCAACTGCACCGGGACTAGATAAGAAATCGGGCGATTGAGTGCCGAGGGTGCGGTAGACGTAAAGCGCTACATCTGGTCAGGGTGATTGAAGAAGCGCTTCAGACAGACGAGACCATATCGCAAGTCATACGGATGCAACAAGCAGGAATATGAGGTCCAGAAACGGAATTGGCAAACGGGACGGCAGTAATCTATTGAAGCAAAACGTATGTATTTCGGCCACAAAGTAGTCTTTCTATAATCGCTCCGACAAGCAATTTTAAAACACTTGCATAAAGTACAGGAAATGACGAGGATGAAAATGTTAGCAAAAGGAGTTGCATAGTGGATGAGCATAAACTGAGACATCGAGGAAACAGTGGGCCGCTGTCGGGAATGTCAGGAAGCCGCAAAGATGCTGCTGAAGACAGTTTTGAGCTCGTAGAAGATAGGAAAACTCCATGTCAGATCCACATTGTCTACGCAGTGCCACTGAATAGAAAGATGTACCTTATCTTAGTTGACGTCTACTCAAAATGGTTGGAAGTATTCGAAATGTCGTCGTCGTCAGCGTTACCTGTGAGAGCTTAGGCTACTTTCTGCACAATTCTGAAATCCCAGTAATCGTGTCGGACAATGAACACAGTTCACAGCGAAGAATTTCAAGACTTCTGTGAGGAGCGAGAAGTTGAGCATATGCGCGCACCATTGTCCCATCCACAACCAAATGGACAGCCGAATGCTTATACTTCCAAAAGAGCGTTTCAGAAAATCAAGGAGAGAGGGACGGAGGAGAAGCTCGCAGCATTTCTGAAATGCTAGCGACGAATCCCGAGCATATCAACCCCGGACAATGTTCACCAGCTTAAGCGTTATTGAGACGTCAGATTAGGACTCATTGTTGGAAGAAG